GACGCGACTTTGGATCGCCGGGCAAGCGTCCGATCGATTCCCATGCCAGGCTCATCGTTCCACGAGAGCCCTCGTACCGGCTGCAGCCCGCTTCAGCTACCGGAGCCAATTCTGGAGAACCCTCACTTGATAGATCAAAGAGTCGCCTCGCCGCCACTTCCAGAGTATCGAGCAATGTCTCCATCGGCTATACTCGCGGCCGATATGGGCAGCCTCTCTCTGGATGACCCATCACCAGACTACAGATCCCCATCACCCCGAGACGTAGCTGCGTTTGGTGTTCCACTAGCTCCTTCTTCGTTTTTCTCCGCTGCCACTCCTCAATTTGGCATTCCTCTTTCTCCACTTACTAGACAACCTACATTGTTGGATGCTGGTGCAACACTCGGCCGTCGCGTGGCGAGGCCTCTTCCGCCACGTCCATCGTAGTGGCAACTCTCTCCTTTCATCTAACCACTCTCACCCTTGCGCCGCTTCTGCCTACAACGCATCTCGTTCGGAGAAACCTCACATCTCCTGGTCATGTGCTCACACCCCTTATCTCATGCTTTGCACTTTCGTTACATCTTAGACGGTCACTAGAATCAGGGACTATGTACCAGAACCCATGAGGGACTTCTGCATCTGTTTCATCTCGATGTATCATTAGCCTCAGAATATCTGAACCATCATGTTGTACTCACTTCGCATTCAAACTTGTCACTGTATGAGCTCTGGCGGCATCTTGCACCTCCTTCAACAATGCTTCCACCGCAGCAAGTAAATGTCGGAAAAAAGGCTGCAGTTGAGTCGTCTCGTGCAACTTCGCACGATTGGTGATCCATGTCTGCCACTCATTTTGGGAGGGGCCGTCTGCGGGAGGCACAGATGCATCAATCCATGGTCTCTCAAATTCAGTTCGCGTCCGAATGTTTCGATGTCACCTCTTGGGCTGGGCAAGCATCTCTCGAGTACCAACTCCTGCAACTCAACACGCAGCACCGAAGCCACAGTATAGACAGATAGACATTGAGATAGGGCCACTCTTCTAGGTGAGGAACGGGAATGTCAGCCTTGCCGACGTCCGCCCGGAGTAAAATCATCACCGCAAATACCCGCCATTTCACTGACACTTTCCATGTCAATAAGCACATTTTATGATCTGTGAAAAGTGATTTGCGCTCGAAAATACTACTGCAACCGAATGATCCATTACGCTGGCTACCCCTTTGACAGCCGCGGAACTTCGCCAGCCAGTCTTAGAAATGCTATTGATTCCCCACCTCGTCAGAGATTCCTGTATCAATAAAATTCGCGGTCATAATCTCAGTAAAGAATCAATCGTAGAAGGAAGATCATGCGCAATGACTGCTTTGTAGGCTGTTGGGAGCAGGACGGCGAGTACACATGAGTTTACAAGACGCTTTGCCCTTATTATACACCGTCTACGTGAACCTGCCCTGTTGATAGACTGCTCACTTCCGGGGAGGAATGTTGATGCCAGCTTGAACAGCAGGGCGTGCGTTAATGCGCTCAAACCATGCCTACGATAGTCATATCAGGCTTTTGCACCCTCTGTGCAATAGAAAGACTCACATTGAGGTGGGGCCATTCATTAAGGCTTTCGAAGCCTGTGAAGATGGTCGCAATGCGAACCCACGGCCAAACGTTGATGTCCGCAATAGTATATTTTCCCTTGCCCGGGCCAGCGAGGTACTCGCGTCCATCCAGACGAGCGTCCAGAACGCTGTAGAGCCGCTTTGTTTCATCCAAGTAGCGATTAATTGCATATGGGCTGTCAAAACGCCGTCAAAACACGTGATACCTTGAGGCAAAGATGGAGCACTCACATCTTCTCAGGTGCTGCCCGGTTGAAGTGGTTGGCTTGACGTACAGAGATCAGCTACCTTTATATCCTTCTAAAGAATTATCGCATACCTTGACCTTGCATTGGGCCGACGCCACCGTGCTAGAGTAGTCGATGTAGATCAGATGGGAGCTCTCTTTGGACGAAGGCAATACGTACCGCGAAGAAGATCCATTGCTGCAACTCGCTCCAGTCCTTCCACTCGCTCGACGGGTCAAAGGCAAACTTGTTTTCCGGGTCATAGTGCTGCTCGAGGTAGAGCAAGATCGCAGCGCTCTCAAAGACTTGGAAGTCTGCTTGCACGGGATCCGCCGTCAGCCATGCTCGCTCGGGCAATGGTCCCCACCGGCTGACGCACCTCCCTTGGACTTATCAGTCAGCGCTGGAATGCGGCCGTTCGGGTTGATCTTGAGGAACCACGGCTCCTTCTGCTCGTTGACGCCATCCGGTTTGAAGGTCATAACGAGCCCGCGATAGTCGTAGTCAAAACCTGCAGGGTGCGACTCAGTCAGCGTAGCCACAAGACGCCACGAGCCGCCCACCTGGGTACGCGCTCTTGAGCTCTTCCAGGAAGATGCTGGGCTTGTGGCCATTGGGAGTTCCGGCTGTCCACAGGAAGAGGTCACGGGTTGAACTCTTTGCAGCTTCGGATGCAGTGGAAGTAGACATGGTTCGTGTAAAGCGTGTGAGGTGGGTGCGTAGAAGGTTGAGGCGGGACGTGTACATTCGAACGACGTCAAGGCAGCCACTTCCCGTTTTATATGTGCTCAAGATGCGAGATGGCGCAATGTCTTTGTCAGCACCGATCGCGTCGTCCCAACCTCGGTCGTGTCGTCGGGAGCGCTGACCCCGAGTGACAAAGCGAATAATATGCAGGTGCCGCTTTCAAATCATTTTGGTCAGCAATGTTGCCATCGATGCGGCGCAACGGAGTTAAGAGCTTCAGGGATGCAATGTTTCGTATTGCTGCGATGCACCAAGACGCCGCAGAAGTAGTGTGACAATATCCTACGGCCCATATGTACTAGAAAAAGATGGTGGTAACCGATACGTGGGTGTGAGAGTCCAAGAAAGAAGCCGATATGCGACAGCAAAATGTCACGGTTCTCAGCAAAGGAGAGACGAGAGCGTGGTAATGCCGAGATTGCAGATGACGGAATACTAGTGAGACAATGATGAGGCAGCAGAGCAGATGCAAAGGATGAGGGGATAATAGTGTGGGGGCGGACTGACTTGCATGGGGTCGCGGATGTACTCTAAAGCATAGGAAACGGTTATTGGAGGGTCCATCGTCATAAAAAGCGTATGTTTTCAGGGACCCAGTTGAGAGTCAGTCGTAGCGCTGTGACTGTTGAGCTCAGTGTGGAAAACTGTCAAGCATTACAGGGTCAGCCACGCAATACCCTGGTGCTTCGAACAGGTTAAACTCACCCCATTACCGACAAATACCTCTGCGCGCCGCGCAATCTCCATGTCAACTGCGGTGTTCACAGACTGCTCGACAGGGTCCAGCACGAGGTCGAGGGAGCTGGTGACCGTGCGCCACCCATCCTCATGAAGGGCAAGCATGAGTTCATTGACCCACGCGCGTTGACCGTCGGTCATTATGAAGACATTCTCAAGCTCGTGTCCAGCGCCTTCACGATGATCATGTTGCGCGCGAATCTTGTGCAGCCGGTCGACGATTTGGCCGACTTCTGGCCAACAGCTGCGGAGATAGAGCTCCTCCGCCGCTCCCGGGGTGAACTTGTCGTGCAGATCCCTAAGCAAATTCCAACTGGCGAAGCCTGCCTTCATATCAAGAAGCTTGCTGCAATGGTCTTTGAAATCACCGCGGTGAATGTGGACGGCGACAAATCGCTGGATGCCGGCATTGCTTGGGCGCGGAGCGTATCTGCCCGATGGTGCTTCAGTGCTCCAGGGAATGGCAGGTGATGAAGGCGATATGAGATGGAGGTTGTGTGCGACGGCGTCCTGTACGGGTCCAGAGAATCTGAAGTGGGTCATAACAGGTGAAACAGCCATTTGTGGCCACAAATCGAGCAGCTTTTTCCTACCAAAGAAGCTGGGCGAAAGGTCAGTGATGGCAGGAGTTGCGTTCCGAGTGTAGACGTACAAAGTGTCGAACAACTGATGCGTTCCGTCCTTGAGCTCGATACAATTATCAGGGAGGTCAAGTAAATACTGTGCCCACTTGTCCATGAAGACATCACCCTTGGTGCTGGTGAAGTCGATCCCGAGCTCGGCATTGACTTCGTCCGGGATGAGGATCCGCCGGCGTGCCGAAGGACAGACCTGATCCCAAAATGCGACATTGACGGCACGGGGTGCGTCTGTGCCGGCAGGCCATGGGCCTCCGGCAGTAGGCCCACTAATCCAGGCATTGAGGGGATAATTGGCGCCAGCAGAGAAGACGAAGGCGCGGTTTGAACGCATTGCGAGGTGTGACAGTAGGATCGTCTCCTCGAGCTGGTTGTTCAAACCAACATCCCACATTTGATTCCTGAAGCGAATGTATCGGCCCTCGCGGCCCTCTGGGGACGGCAGGTCGAGATTGTGCTGTGGGAGGTTGCGCTCGAGCGTCCAAATGTCGCGCAACGAGCGATAGCGGTGGAAGTTGGAACCACCGCCTTGAATTTTGCCAGACCAATAGAAGAAGGCGACATTGGCGCAGAGAACAAAGAGAATGAGGTAAGTTCCTCGTCGCGAATTCAGCCGGAAAACCGGCTGACGTCGCTTCGTGGACAGTTCTTCATCGTCGGTGGGCACAGGCATGTAGGCCCGTAAGCGTCGTCCAAACGAGAACATCGTACTCAATATGGCGGAGGGCGTGGGAGAAGGAATGTGGACCCACAGTGACGAGGGAATTCGGGGAGGAGGAAGAGGAGAAGGGGTGTAAGCCTTTGGCCGCACCAAGTCCGAAGGGTATTGGACCTCTGGACCCGAACCTTCTCGCCCAGCTGGCTGTCTTTTCGATCTGATCATCGGCAAGGAACAACGGCGTACAACAACATTGTCATCAATTATTAACGGCACCTCATTATACCCGGAGACCCCACCAAGAAAACCCAAGACTGCGCCGAGGCATGAAGATGTCTTGGCAGAGCCCTGATAATCAAGTGATATGTACTGAAGAATTGAACGGCTCCCAGAAGAAGCCTTAGTTCAGTGGTAGAATGCATGATTCCAGAGAGGTGCTCCGCGTCTTAGGACTCCATGTGGTCACAGGTTCAATCCCTGTAGGCTTCATTTTTCCCGCCATTTGGTCACCGCGCACAGCTGGGGAGCCCGTGCGCTTGAAATAAAATGCAGTATGCTGCCTGAAGAGTACCGAAAGAACCGCTGTTCTACTAAATTACGTATCATGCGCGTTATCCGCGGCTGTGGGACTATTAATAACTTCGGCCCGTTAAGCTTGTAGTTTTTCCTTGTCGAGAAAAGCATAGTCGTAGACATTTCGATCCAGAACCACAGGAACGTGTCGTTTTTGGAGAACTATCGCGAGAATTTTCCTGAGAGGACATCCTCCTCCTGTTTCTCAGAAAGGGCTAGGTTACAATGAGCTGGTTCTGGTAAGCTGTTTCAGGCAAGCTGTTTCTGATAACCCTATCCTGAACGATCACCTGGGCTACATGTCTTCAGCCTGTATACAGCTGACCATTCAGACTCGCGTACTTGGACAGGGCATTGTTTATGTCGCCAATGAGTGTGTGTTTGACTATAAACCCATTGTCTCGGAATTACAACATTCTGCAAACTAAGTACAGTGTTTCCAGGTCATATTGAGATTATTGAAGCTACGTTCCATGAACCAGCCTTGTCTTGTCTAGTTCATCGAGCAGCTCGTCGACCAGGTCGGCTGGGCGAATGGTATGATCCGTCTCTGAAACCTTCCGTCTTCAAGGAATATGTGAGCACAAACTTGTCCAACGTCGACCCATATCGCATCACCGCCGCCATCGTCGAGACCACCGTCCTTAACGTCAAGTAGATGAAACTGTGTGCTCGCCTCATGACTTTTTTTTTTTTGGCCTGGACTTACGTAGATCGCATCCCCTACCCCTCGCTTGCGCGAGCTGGATGCCACGTTTTGTTACTGTCTCTCTGCACATCGTAATTAATCGGACTTGGTGCACAGCTCTTGTGGGGATTAGTGATGTCGGAGCTATGTCTTGAAAGATGTGAAAGCCATTTCGATTGAGACAATTGGGATGCAATGTACAGGTAGTAATAATGATACAGTATGCGCTCTAGATATTCTACAGTGAAAGGTCCGTGTCGTAAAGATGCAAAAGTGTTGTATACAAAAAGGGAGTCTCGGACCGCGGGCCGCGCTCCAGCCACCGGACTGGCGAGGAACGATGCAATCTCACCCGGTTGTTCCGGGGTCAAAACAAAAAGAGACTGTGGGACTGGGAGCAATCGAACACGTTCAAGTCGATGGCGCGCTCAAGCAGAATAGATCTAGAAGATGTCGGGGTTGTCCACGTCACCAACGAGGGCCTTCCATTCCTCGGGTGTGGGTATGTAAAACGGATACGGCTCCAAGTGGGCAGGGCCGATTTCGAGCGGAGGATTGGAGTGGACCGGCGGCTGGGTGAACGCTGGCAGGTTGGTGGAGGAGGTTGACGCGAACGCTGGCAGGTTGTTGAAAGAGGTGGGTGCGAACGAGCTCGGGTGGCTGGTGCTGAACCCACCAAACGGGAGCGAGAGGTCGTATGCACTGAATGTACTTGGAATGCCGCCCTGTGGCAAGAAGAAATCGAAGGCGGCGGCGGCGGCGGGTAAAAGTCCGTGCCAAATGACGGGAAAGACGCTGCAGTTGCCGATTGACCGTAGTTCCATGGGTCAGGCATGACCAGCGCGGTGGTCGATGTCACTGGAGACAACGACGACGGAGTGCCATTGAGATCCGATGACGAAGGCGAGGGACGACTAGACCCGGCTAGCGGTTGCTTGGTTTGGTTGGATGGCAGGTCGTTGCTCGAGTCATTAGCGGGCGAAGAAGGGGGTGCTGCACGGGGGTGGAACGCGTGATCACGCCGCTGCCATCGTGCACGAACTCGCCCATGACCGCAGTACCGTCTGCGAGAAGCTCAGGCAGCGGCATCCCTCGTTTCCATTTCTTGAGGAGCTTCATCCGAGCGTCCTCTGTCATAATCGGTTCCAAGTTGCGGCTGGCAAGAGGGTCGAACCGTTTGCGTTTGCCAGCCTGTCCGTGGTTCTCTTGGCTAAGACGATGGGCCGACCCGCGGAGGTGTCGCCCTACATTACCCTTCTGGCGCGTCGAGAAGTTACACCAAGAGATTGGGCATTCATACTCACTAGAACTTCTATGTCAGGTATCGAACCAGGATCGTGTTGCCGCAGGGAGCTCACCTGCACAGCAGATGCACATCCACAAAATGGCGCTTCAGGTCAGGCAAACGCGGTGCAATGTAATTGCAGTCGGCTACTGGGCAAGCGGTGGCCTTGCAGACCTGGCCGGGCGGCATGAAGAGGTCTTGGTCTGGAGAGAGGAGGAACAAAGGGGGTCAGTTGGATACTTCCGGCGCTTGTCCCCGATGCCCCCCAACACGTTCACGTACCGGCATGTCGCTGAGACTCGGTAGGTTGTAAGGCGGGTAGATTGGTATGCTGGTTGGCGATGGAGGGCTTTGGAGTGAGGACTCAGAGGCCAGCGGGTCTCTCGCTCTTTATAGTGTTCGCCTGGCCATGAGCGTGGACTCGCTCGCACTCACTTGACCGTGAGAACTCTGGCAGGCTGTGAATGGCTGTGGAAGCACATTTGGGCGATCGCGAGCCATGTGTGGACCGGAAGTTGCGATCGGTAGGGGGTAGCCACCACATTCCAAATCCGGTCATCTGTCTTGTGCGGATGATGCCGATGGTGTTGTCCTAATTTGATGTCGTTGAATGTGTGCGCGCGTGGGCCTCTGACCTCACTTGCTGTGCATACATCTGCAATTCCGGCGGATGGCTCCATTGTGCCATCACGACTGGTCGTCAGTGCTGGGATATTTTGTGAAAAGATGAAGGAAAGTTCTGTATTGGGAGTATGATTCTGTGTCTAAATTGGCACACTTACACAGATTTTACAGTAAATGTACAGGCAACTTGTCGACTCTTTCAAGGTGACGCCGGATGTCGTAACTAGTCCATGGTGCTTCATGCGCAGCTTCATGGCTCCGAAGGATTCCTTTGCACTGCTCCTAAGCAATCTCTTCGCTGCACAAATGCAATATTTCAGCGAGGTTCTTACTCTCGACGCGGAGACCATTTGACTTTTGTTCACCGAGTTAGACATATTCGAGGTCGTCGATGTCTGTGTCCCACTCGGAGGAACTATGCGAACCCGACGTTTCGTAGGAAGGATCAATATTGTCACCAGTGGACTTCATGCAACCCTCCAGGCTCAAAGAAGCACATGGCTGGCTGAGGCCTTTAATCAGGAGTTAATCCGCGGCGTCGAATGATACCACTGTTAGGACTACTCACTGATCCCTCCATTCTCTTTTGGCCCTCATCCACCATATTCAACATGTGACTAGGGTCGTCGGTATCACTCACATCCTTATGATGACCCCATATCGTAAAGTTCGTTCAAAACTGTCGTCGTGGTCGCATGCGCGGTGAAGCAAACGCGCATGCTCCCGCATCGTTGCACTGGCCCAAACCAGATCGCCACATGGTTCCGTTGTCCCGCTGATCCAGCGGTAGCCACACTTCCACTTCGGTATCCAAATACCATGCGATGTGGATTTGGAGCGAGAGCTAACACAGACCAGGGCATCGTTGGTTTCCTCCGACAGAGGTCGAGTAAGCGCGGGGATCTACCGGTTCTCAGCCACGCTTCGATCGAATATCACAAACTGGACCTCTTGCAGCCGGCTCGCATCATTTGGTAAAGTAGATTGATTTCAGTGTGTGGTACAAATATTGTAACAAGCCCTCAGTGACGAGCAAACCAGGTGGAAACAACTGGGCGAAGATCGGCAGAGATCCGGGGAAGACATCAGAAAGACAGACACAGAGCAATCAAGACAAGCACGATAAACGAGTCCGAGACAAATGGGAACAGGCAAGACCAATGAGGTCGATGAGAGGTGAACTTCGTGACTAGATGATGTACAGGCGAGAGGACCGCAGGGGACACTCCCGGCGAGTAGTCAACAGTATGGGGTTTTGATGACAGCAAAAAGCACAGTGCGGGGTGGATCTACAAGCTATGGGATTTAGGAGACACGGTCAACAGATGGGGTGAGCTAGTGGTACGATGAGGGGACAGTCAGCCAGTGATGAGAAGTGACGAAGGGCTGAACAGTCAGTGGGGATAATGCACAAATGATACAAGGGCCAATACAAGGAGATAGAGATGGGATGGTTGCAGGGAGGCGATGAGGAGTGGAATGTCATGCAGCAGGTCGCTCAAAGCTGCGCATCATGGACAATAGCGTTGGGTACTTGGGCGCTCGAGGGGCGCTAGTTTCCCCTGAGGCATCTGCGGCACTTTCGGGCGGCGGGACGTATCTCCTGCAGTAGAATATGAAAAATTGCTTGCAGTTTCTTCCGGAACTGAACACACCGATTGAAAGCAATGACATCCCCTGTCTCAAAGTTGCTTTGTAGGAACGTCTTGCGAATGTCGATATGTTGTGGCACGTCGCACATGACCTCCTCGAGCATCTCGACGTCCACCGAGTTTCGCCAATGCATGATCTTGCGTATCCGATCGCGAATGGCGCCGACCTGGTCGTGCGGATTAACATACACCGCACCAACTCCCCGCAGCGACTCGTTCGGAATGTCGAAGTGTTTGAGGAAGATCAGCCGTTTTGTCTTGTCGAATGGCTTCTCCTGAGACAAATATCAGTTGTTGTTGCTCCAGTGAGAGACAACCAGAGCATACTCTTCGCATGTCGGCTGTCTCTTCAACATAGAACAGCAAGTACGTCTCGTCCATGAAGTTGTTGTACGTCGTCCCAATCTCGCGTAAAGCTGTCCCAACCTCGTCAGTATTCTCCACTCGCCATACGGCGCTGCGCATCACTCACTCATGTCCAGCGTCGCGCCCTGAAACGGGACGATCTTACTCGGGCGCACCGCACGATTATGCCGCTTGACCATGGCACGAATTTGCACGGCGCGCTTGTACATCTTCCTGATCCTGGGCAAGATATCGCGCAGCGTCTCGTCGCGCCGCGCCTCGAACCGTTGCGCCTCGCCCGCGCCCGCGATATCGAAGCCCA